ATCTTGATTGATTGTCTCCCACCTGTGAGTATGTTATAGCTGTCTCTTATACACATCTAGATGTGTATAAGAGACAGTATATATATACACGTATAATATATGTCATGTCATGTATCATGCACAGGAACTCTGACGCCTGCAAGGCTCTGGTTTACTTAATATGAATGAGGACAAACAAAATAAAATTACAGTAAACGAAAGTGCAATGAAAGTGTGGCATGTGCATCAGTTTACTTTTGTAATGGGTTCGATGGGTCGCGTCTGAGTGCTTGATATATAATTTTGTTCGTGGGCTAAAAAGGTTGCGGAACCTGGGATTTAAATTATTATCTTTCAATTGAAAGTTAGAATGATATAACATGTTTCTTTCAAATTTCTAAGTTTTCTAAATTTTACAACAGTACAGTACTTTACACTTTTTCTGTACAGTATCTGTACCATATTACAATTAACATTGCAACTTCAGATAGACCATTATTTAAAAATATAAATAGCATCCCATCATTGCAGTTAAGTTCTAGAAAATCCACATTTTCTGGTGCTAAATTGCCAAGAAAGTTTTCTTACTGTTACTCACTTATACTAATTTTGTTTATTTCCAAAAAAATTTATAGTTCAACCTTTTACGGATGCACCAGTGAAGATAGATGATATAAATCGATTAGGAGGGGGTCGCATAAACAACAAACTAAATAGAAATAGATCGTCAAGGGGAAGGCGCAATCCATCACCTCCACCAGAAAGTGATCTTGAGGTAAATTTAAACTATTTTGAAATTCTTTTTATAGTTTCATAATTATGTATGGTAACACAGGAATATTTTAATAATTCACATTATTACAACCAATTACATAGATGTTATTGTTGTTGTTATCATTATTGGGTAATTATTATTATTGTACAGTAGTACTGTTGTATCCAACCAACCAACAGAGAATTATATTTAAAACAAAATTCTATAACTATTTTCTTAAATGGCAATGCTGATTACCTGTCAATAATAATAATAATAATAATAATAATAATAATAATAATAATAATAATAATAATGTTGCAGAGCATCGATGCACTTAAGCTAAAACAAAATATAGTACTCTCACAATGACCTCTAAAAATTACTGAACCACCCCTGGAGGAAATATGGCTTGGAAGACTGACTGGTGGGAGTCTACCGTACTTGTCACAGATGGGAATGAAATTATGATTCAATTAAAAAGTACATTAGATGTGAGTAGACATCCATACATAATGTGCTGAATACAGTACTTAAAAGCCATATTTTAAAGAGATGCTTTTACAGCATATGACCTCAAATAACCCGATCATTGTTGTCGATGTCACCTCCATAATTAGTTGTTATGAATAATGTGATATTCATCTAGATATTAATGTGAAATTCAATTTAGATATTGCATGTTGGCTTCCAATCTGTTATGTTATTAACTATAAATTAAGATTTTTATTATCACCGTGCTTACTTTAATACCCAGAAAATACACAGTATTTATAGTTTTACAATTATTAGGGGGAAGTTGTCAGGGGGATGCAACAGGAAGGGTGGGGGTGGAGTGGGGGTGGTATCATTTTAACATTAGTATCTTCTTGTATCATTCAAAATATTGTCCCTCTTTTTTCCTGATTTTGACCAAATGACAGTTTGATTTAAAATCCTCTCCATAAAATAAGCGTTGTTTTCAGTGTGGTATGTCTTCGACCACTGAGGTCACCTCTGGGGTCAATAATGAGTACTTTATCAGAGCCCATGTCAAAGCCTACTTGTAGTTGATCTGATGTAAGCAGTTTTTACTTCACCCACTTCATCACCAAAAGTGTTTACATATGTCTCATTTACCCAAGCCTTATATAAATATAAATATGCACATGTCATGCTAAAGTGTGTTCAAGAGTAAGTATTTTGTCTCTTAATACATGAATAAGTGGACTTGCCATAATAATGCCAAATTTATTGATAATATATCAATATGAAACTAATAATATGACCTTATTATTTATACTTTGTTTTTTTTTTGTCTGAGTTTACATCTGCTGAAATTATTTGCATGCCAGATTTCTATCGCTTGTGGCCTCACTTTCTGTGGGCAGCTATACGAGAACCATTCACCTATAGGGCCTGATGACCGGCTAATATGGCAATGAAAGTGGTTGTGTGTTAAAGATGATGGCTAAATTTTACATTTTTTAAAATTTATGAATATCATTTGAGATTTTAATTTAAAAATAGGTAATTATTATATAGTTGACATCAGAAATCATTTGGGAATAAAATTAATAGTAAGCATGATGAAAAGTAGATGCTTAAGTTGAAATTTATTAAACATTAGCTACACTTCAGTTGTCTTTAATACTACTGTTATGGTTTGTGTTTACAATTTTTCAGAATTATAAATTAAAGGGACTGTGTTTGGAGTTTAGTTTATGGTAAAATTGTATTTAAATGTACTGTACATAATACAGAAAGTTACTGTAGTAGTATCTGCATTCCATTTTGCTAATTTGTTAATGTAAAGTAATTGCCATTTACATAAAAGATTTTTGAATCCGAATAATCATCACAATCATCACCATTTAATCTATATAAGATAATTATTATATATTTCTTTATTTTCAGAGGGTCTTCGTTTGGGATCTTGACGAGACCATAATTATATTTCACTCATTACTAACAGGATCTTATGCATCACGCTTCGCTAAGGTAAGTTACACAATTTTAATGCCACTTGAACTAAGCTGTAGTAGAAGTTTGATGAAAGTTGTTGAAAATGCAAGCATGTATTTTCACAACTGATTACAGTAGTGGAAGGATATGTTTACAGTGCAACATTTCTTGGTCATGGTACCATCCCAAGTGTTTCTAAAAGAGCCCCTTTAGAACTATGTGTTGCAAATTAAGTTAGATTTAGAAGCCATTCTGATCCAACTCTTCCCCTCTGACCTACCCTCTCTTGAAATCTTACATTTGATGCTGAAGACCATGAATCATAAAGTGCCACAGAACTTCTCAATCTTCTTAAGTCACAAGATGATTTAAATCTTTAAACCTTTTATTAACTATTTATGATTCATTCGGTTGTTTGCACTGTGCATTTTTAATAGGTCAAGCTTAATAATGGCCCATTGTATAGAACTAATATTTGTTCTGAACTAATATTTAAAACATATACAAGTACTTAATTAATTTGAATTTAATAACAATGAATGCTGTCAGTTTATTTACATTGAAATTATTAGATGTTATTGCAAAACTTTATTAAAATTAAGATGAATTATCATATAAATCATTGCTTATCATTCTCAAGTTGATCGTAGATTCCTCAATAACCATTACTGTACGTTAGCCACACTGGCAACACCTTGGCATTTTGAAGTCGTTCTAAATCAATGCTAAGTGAACGATCATCAATAGCACTTGATGTAATAGGCAAGGCTTACCGGATTAATTAACAAGCAATTCTTAAGTTGACCACTACATTTCATGATGTGTCTATACACTTTACGCGCATTATGTTGATATACTGTCGGGATTTTCAACGTCATTACCGCAGTTTTGCCGATTTAACTGGCCAATGACATGATTTGTGGTTGCTTTATGTCCTACAGTAAATTGTGCTAATTGCAAGGACATTTTTAATGTAGGAATGGTGAATGGTTGTAGAATTTCTTTCTACTTTGTTCCCTGACTTAGGCTCCCATCATTCATACAGTCACATCTCTCATTCTTTATGTCACTTATTTTCCCATCATATCCTATAATTTTGTTCTATCAAAGTCTATATTCATCTCGTAATTTTCTCAGATAGTAAAGTTCAGTATTTTAGTATAATTGTTTACTATAATATCAATATTTATTTAAGTGTGGTAGAAATATAAATCATTTCATAAATGTTACTACACCTAGTTCTGGTTTTCATATCAGCAGTTATTGTACAATAGGACCAAGTTCGTAATTTTGAAAATTCGAATTACAGCAATTATTTAAATTAAAATAATGGGTGGTTCATGCAATGGTAATAAAGATAAGGATGGGCTAATAATAAAGCTGTGTCCTGTGTCCGTGTTCATTGTGTGTCTATCTGTACACCACCTTAAACTTATGCATTATGAAATATGCCATATACAGTAATTCATATTTTTTCCCATGATTGCTCTAATTCTGTAAGTCATACCCTTTCAAGATATTAAACTTTACTTTTAGTAATAATTAATACTAACAAGAGCGACAATGGTAAAATGACAATAATGATTAAGTTCATCTTAGTGTACATTTCTTAATTTGAATGTATTGCATATATTTCCTCCTTAGATACTAATATGTAAAAGGCCTACAGCTCAATTAGTAATATACAGTATAAATATACAGTAGGTTACAGTTATGTAGAACTGGTGAAGAGTAGAACCATCATTGTGATGATACCCGCAGGTTAAAATTGTCCTACTTGGCCTCTCGCCCAAGACCCTTATGACCATTGCTTCTCCTTGAAGTAGAACATTCTTTTGTAGGTGGCCGGTGATGAAGCACAGACAGTAATTTACGTTGTTATCTGTGTAGATTTAAATCCTACTGTTCACAGTCCTATTATCTCTCTCCACTACTGATGTGATAAGTAAAGGTCTTGAACTGCCCAGTATCACTCATCAACTTCTGTTTGTCATTTGGTGACTCAGTCAGACTGTAAAACAGCTCAGGATAGCAAATATCGTAATCCATTTCAGTTTGGAGGAGGGAATCTTGAGGAGAAATAGTCTAGAAGGGCGGGGTGAGGTGTGAGCACTGATTCAAATAAAATGTACGGAATGAAAGTATGGATTTGAAAAAAAAAAGATAGAGAATGGGAAGGGAACTCTGTGGCGTAGCTATTGTTAAAATATTTTTGGAAGTATAGCATTCCTATTTGACCCCCATACATTTTTCAAGATTACTTTGTCTATCTTTCATTTAAAAGCATGTCAGATTTCTTGGCGATATTCTATACATTACTCTGAGTAGAGTTTTCTAATTATTATCCCAAGCTATAGTATTATATCTATAGAAAGGCCCCAAAAAGCAACAAGGTCTGATTTTAAAGGCTGTCATAAAATTGTTCAAAGTACTCTATTAAAGGGTTCCATCTTAAAGTTCCGTCTGTAGGCCAGTAGATTACTGAACTGTTAGTGCATTAGTTCTGTGTTCAGGACTTTAAAAAATAGAGTGAGTGTGTTTTTGTTAGCCCGTTGGGTCTGTTTGTCAATCTGCAATTGAAGAATACTTTATCTTTATTGTCTGGATCTCACTGTGTGTCAAAGGGTTGAAAAAGTGTGAGACATGAAATATAGTGACTGTCAGTGCTTTAGAAGATGCACAATGCAAAAGTTTATTGCATGTTGGCAAGCCTCCGCTTGTTTGTCATGGCCTTTAAAAAAAATCATCTATACATAAAACATCTTATTTCTTCAGATGTGTATAAGAGACAGTTGTTAAATTTTATTTTTGTAAAAGAATATTTTGAATATAATAATTCTAAGAAATGATAGGCCATTCAGTTTTTATTTGAAGAGTTTATCCCTTTTTTCTTTTTAAAGTGAAGACAATTCTGATTAAAATTGATTCTGTTCCAACCACTGCTAAGAAATGTCATTAAAATCAATTTTAGGAACATTTGTTTGTGGAGGTAAAGTGTCCCCTCTGGGCTGAATAATTGCCTGAGGTACTGAATGAAACCTGCAACAAATGAACAATATGTTTTTACAAAATAGCACATGATTTCCAAACAATTTCTTCTTAAACAAAAGTTGATTTGCATCAAGATCAGTTTTTATACTGACTTTTAAAAAATTATTTTACCATGTCCTATATATGCACGGTCATTCTGCTAGCCATTCAAAAATACAATCGTACAATAATTTTGTTGCCAATATTAGTAAAAATAATATGACAAAACTATTCGTAATATAACAGTTCATGTTGAACAGATATTAATGATGACAGAATTAGAAACTAGAATAACAAAATGTACATTTTTTTCCTCGTCTGTGAACTTTGGTGCATGCAGCACATGGAATGATAGCCGCGGAACAGAACTCAGAATTAAGCGCGCTTATGCAGAATACTTTGGGAAAAAAACCATTCTAATAACGATCTAATGAACTACTGCATGCTTGTTGGATTTGATTTTGTCAAATTAATAAATGAAAGCAGTAAATAATTTTCCCTAGGCCGTCGGTTATTACACGTTCAAATCCGATTTCACAGAACCCTTATTGAAATTCATAAAGTTTTGTACTAGCTCGAGACAAAGACACGATGTTATGAATTATTTATGTAACCGTGTTGATGATTGCTTTATCTTAAGACAGATTTGCTTCTGGGTACTCAAGTTGTTGCCGATATTAAGTACCCTAAATTTCTTTTTATAATGAAGAATGGAAGTATAACCTGGTGTGTACGGATGAACTTTGGTGGATGTTTTTTTCTTTGTGTCATTTTCTACTCAAATCACGCTGTCTAAAATTTGATTGAATGCTGCATGTTCTTAAATGGATTTTGAGTTATTTTAATGTTCATAGCAATAGCAAAGATTTATCCATTAATGATAATTCATAATTTTATTAATCTGCCATCAATTTGTTTTGATCTGTAAGATTATAGTCTTAATTATTTAACTGTTTTTAATTAATTTACCATGATTAATGTTTGTCATATTGCCTTAAAAATGTTTACTCTGTTGAAATAAATGCAAAATTAATTTAGTTAGATATAATTTTTCATAAAACTTACTTTACTTACTTAAAAATTACTTTTCTCTACTGATGAAATTAAAATGTTGTGTAAGTTTATTTCTACAAAACAATTTTACTCAGAAAAATTAATATTTATTGTATCCATATTCTTGATTTTTTATGATTGATTATATAAATAGCTATTTAATTTTAATTTATTAAAATAAATGTCTTTAGAATATAGGCCCTATAAACTTTATTTGTATATACCTGTATGTTGCATACATTTTTAAATATCTACTACATATATTGTAAAATTATTAATAATATTTTTTTGTAATTTGTTTATAAAATGAATGATTAAAGGAGAGATATGTATCATATCTTTAATTAAGTGTTATATAGACTATAATTATTTACTTACAATAACAATATTATGAATAATCTTTTTTTTTTTGGTATAGGGCAAATAATATCACATTATATAGATCTTTTGTGCATCATACAAGTTGCAATAGTAGACTTTACAGAATTTGTTATAATAGGAGTGAACCAAAAAAATGCTAATAGTGATCCAATATTGATTCTATAGATGTTATTAAGTTAAAATAAGTTTAGCCTACTTTTACAAGAAGCACACACAGAATTAATGGCAACATCATTTCAACTAATTTGTTTCTGTATTGTGTTATGCATATTCACGTTTTGATAAAATGTCAGATTGTTGATTCGTAGTCACGGCTGCCCCTGAAGGCTTCTCAATAGCTAGTGAGGGACTTAATGAATACGCTGTGGGCTATCTCGCTGAAGCGAATAGATGCACAACTTTCTAACTAAATCACAGACATGCATTAAATGCGTAGCTTTATCATTGATAATGATAAGACGGCACATATTTTTATTCATTACTGCAATTCACTTACCTTGGTTTAAGCATTGCATTATTAGAGGAGAAGTAGCCTATTAATCATCTATGGTTCTTACTAATAGCAAAGATTC